TATATATATCGATCAAGTTAATTTTATAAATTTAAATGGCCAAAGTCATCTGTGGCCCCTCAAAGGTGTCCTCATTATTCACTTAGACACCTCAACTACACCTAGTACCTATTGAACACCTCTACCACCCTAGATTTGAACCATCTAAGCATTTTTTGCCTACATGGCAAATCGTTTGTGATTCACGCAAATTGGGTGCGTGAATTATTTTTTCTCCCATTTTTTACCCTGCATTTAAGACATCCAACGTTAACTTGGATATTTTAACATTAAAATCCCCAATTCTTCTTCCCCCAAATACATTTTAGAACCCTAATCCCCAATTCTCTCTTCTTTCTCTAAATATCCAACGTTTCTCTCTTCTAAATCAGTTGTGTTTTATCAAATGTCGCAAAGTTCAGTGAGTATCGAGGAAGTCGATGTATGTAAAGTGTGGTTATTATTGTCGACTGAAAACTTCGAGGACTCCATTGAATCCAGGTCGTCGATTTTTTGGATGCAAAGCATCAAAGGTTTGTAATTATTTGAACAAAAACTACTATTATTGTATTATTTGAAAAATCAACATTTTTATATATTTATTACTGTAATGTGGTTCGTAGGAAAATGGTGGATGTGGCTATTTTAGATAGATTGATCCGTCACTTGAAAATGTTGATGAATCATCCTTAATGAATAGATTCATAGATGGTAATAATCCGATTGATCGACTAAAGAGAAAAGTGAAAGAGCTTGAAGAAGAAAGGAATTCTTTGAAATTTCAATTGAATGAAAATGAAGAGAAGGTGATGGTATTGAACAAGAAGCTCAAAGGAAGTTAAAACTCCAAAAAGGATTGGGAAAATGTCAAATTTAACCGAGTTGTGATTGTTTTCTTTGTCTGCTAACTATAAAATGGTTCTTTAATATTGTGTAGTTCAAAATTGTAGTACTTAATTGTTTAAGTTTTGCTAGTAGTTAGGAGGCTATTTCACGTAATTAGTGTTGTACTTAATTGGTCTGTTAAGTTCATATTTTATATCAAATTGGAAGTTTGAATGTGAATTGATCAGTGTCTCTTTTGTAACTTCTAGTGTGAATTGATCAGTTTCTCTTTTATAACTTGCCTCTGTTTTCTTACTTGCCCTGTGTACTAATTTTTCCTGTGTTCTGAAATTAGTTCTGGGATCGACTTGCCCTGTGTAGTTGTTGTTCAAAAACTGAGCTAATAACACAAATGCATGGCTGGAATTAGTTGCCTCTGTTTTCTAACTTGCCCTGTGTTCTAACTTTCCCTGTGTTCTGAAATTAGTTCTGGGATCGACT